AATTCTTATAAGCTTATTACAAAGAGTAACATTAGACTCAGTGACTGACTATTGGCAATGAACCTTTGAACAAAATGCAGTAAATAATGATTATGAAAATATGTATTTCAAAAGTTGATAATATTTTTCCACACTATGTACATGTGATTACTTTGCTTCCTTCTGTTCAGGCTAAGGCCAACCAATCCAAAGGGGAACAAAAGTAAATAAAAGGTTGTTTGTTGGTGCTTCAGTTTATCAGAGTGATAGGAAAACTATTAAGACTGTTTTGGAAAAACTCTAGGTATAACAGAAATAATAGTGGTGCACAAAGCAACTCTCTAAGATACAGCATCACTGACTTAATGGAGGCTTTCAGTTTGTCTGAAATGAGTGTTACTAAAAAAATCTAATAGGAACTGCAATTACAGCTATTATATTTTCAATAGCTCAAGCTTTTATTTTGACAAATGGATTTTTTTTCTCTGCTAAACAGTCTACATGTTTGATTTTTTCAAAATGCATTTCTAACAGTAAAAACAAACGTTTTCCATTAGGCATTGTTTTTCTCTAATTTTATACTATCTTGTAAAATGTCGAAATCAGACTCAAGTTAAAGCCTGAGCAATGCAATTTTATATCAATGGTTAATCTTTTGAAAATAATGTAAAACCATTTAATGAATGTTTACTCTGTGTTAGGCATATGCTGAATGCCTCCTATTCATTATCTATTGAACCCCTTTAATAAACATAAAAGTTATTTCCTCATTAGACTCATTTTAAAGCTGAGCAACCTGGGCTGTACAGAAGGTCGGGTAACACACTCCAGGTCACATAGTAAGTGACAAAGGCATATACATTTACCTGACATGGAATGTGGAAAATGGTACATTATGTCTAAATATCACCAAATATACCCCAGAATAAAAGGGCTTTTGACTGGAAAAATAGCAAAATAACTCACATACTTACAAAACATTTATTTTGACCTAAAGCAATAGGTTTCAGATACTGCTCACTGATTATCTAAACCATTTCACCCCTTAGAAAACTTCCCGAAGCAAGTTTCCATGGCAACAGTTAAACCTGGCAAGGTCTTTGCCCTTTTGCACTTGGTCCCCCCACACCCATCGTCCTCCCTCCACTGGCTTCATGCTTCACCACTCCCTATCGCTAATGAGGAATACTGTGGTTAAGGAAAATTTCTGTGTGGCTGGGCTTTTATCACCTTGCGAATTTCTTGGAGGTACATTAATTCTGTCAAGAAGTGTTTTCATAAATATCTGCTCTATGTACATTATACTACATGTGACTGAATGAATTTTAATTGTCTTGTTTCCTCTAATACACTACCCTAAAATATCAGGAGCGAGACTAAAGATGGAAGCCAAAGGATATCTCTGCTAACCCTCTTCCTTCTTCTCTATCTTTTTCCTACCTCATTTTAACCACATTTCTAACTCATTTTCTTTTGTTTTATTTTCCCTCTTTAGGGGACCAAAAGGCAAAGTGGAAAAACAAAATCTGGTGGCTAATTAAAGAAACCCAGTGTTCTGGCCACATCTGCTTTTATTATGTGTATAATATAGCTCTTGCCTTCTATTCCTTTTAAGCCCTTAATTTTTATGATAAAATATATAGTAGTCTAGCCCCCAACTGTAGTCCTTTAGGCTCCATTTGTTTGTGGTATTATACTGTTTGTTCTTTCTAAAACACATTCTTGAAATGTGTATAACAGAAGACACTATAGACAACAGGAAAGGATTAATAAAATCTACAGGATTCAGATTTCCGTTGTAGAGGATGGCTGATTATGTTTTAGCTTAGGAAGAACCTATGCTTTCATTACTGGGGCAATATGTTAAAGCAGTAATAATCTAGGTTGCCATTAAAACCACATGTTTCTTCCTGATTCATGTAAGAAAAAAGTGATACATTGCATTTCATCAAAATCAAAAATCTGTATAATCTTTCACAATGTATACATATATCAAATTGTCACACTGTGCATCTTAAATATACACAGTTTTTATTTGTCAATAACGCTGGAAAAAAAACTTCTGCTACTCAATAGACACTATTAAGAAAATTAAAATGAAAACCACAGACTGGGAGAAAAAAAAATTTAAAGCATGTATCTGATAAAAAACATAACCAGAATAAATTTTAAAAACACATTAAAAATTCAGTAATAAGAAAACAAACAACCGAATGTAGGGGGAGGGACGGGCAAAAGATTTGAAAAAGCATTTCAGAAGAAGACACAAGGATGACAAAGAAGCACAAGAAAAGATGCTCAACATTATTATTCATTACAGAAATGTAGATTAAAACCACCTGTAACTGTACTACACACAGGTTAAAATGGATAAATTGAAATGGCGAACTCAGTTACTAAGTACAGTCAAGGATAGAGAGAAACTGGAACTTTTATGCAGTGCAGGTGGGAATGGAAAAAGGAACACTCTCTTTGAGAAACTGTTGGCATGTATTTCTTTAAAACATTATAAATTCACTACCGTATTATCCAGTCATCCCACATATAAGTGATTTACCCAAGATGAATGAAAGTATATGCCCATGCAAACATTTATATATGAATGTTCATATCCGCTTTATTTGTAATTACCAAAAAATGGAAAATCCCAAATGCCCATCAATGGGTAAATAGATGAACAAATTGTGGTATATCCATTCCATGGACTACTACTACAATACAAGGAATAAACTATGGATATATGCACTAAATCGGTAGATCTTAAAATGGGTTTTTTGCATAAAAGAAAACAACCCCTCAAAAGGGTATATACTGTATGATTTCATTTATATACAGTGCTATCAAATGCACATAAAGTGACAAAAAATACCCAGATAAATGATTGTCTAAGGCAAGGGTGGTTTGGGGCATGAGGGGAGGGGAGGACAAAGGATTAAAAATAGACACAAGGAAACTTTTTGGGGTGACATATATTCGTTATCTGATTTGTGACAATGGATTCATGGTTGTATGCATGTGCTAAAACTTCTCAAATTGTACACTTTAATTATGCACAGCTTATTGTATGACAATTATACCATAATAAAACTGTTTAAAAAGCACACTTGGTATTTCAGATATTATACTGACCACTGCTGAGCAGGATAACAACAGGATCTGAGAACTGTCACCCCAAATTGAGTATAATGTAAAGCAGGATGTGTAAGTGAAGTTCACATCCAATTATGGATATCTTTCCAGCAGTAGGCAATATCATATATGAGATAATTAATGCAGGATAATTAATAAAGCATATTAAAGTCTCCATTATAAATCTATCTCTCATTTACCTATCACTTCTATTCATTTACATCTCTCAGTTCCTCAAATCCATGTATGTTTCACTGATATCAAATGCAAATGTTTGCTCATTTGTTTGGATTCACCACACTGTGAAAGTGGTTTCTTAAGACTCCATGTAAAGCCTTCATTTATTTTGGTCTTTTTTTAAAGATTTTATTTATTTGACAGAGAGAGAAAGTGAGAGAGAGAGAGCACAAGCAGGGGGAGCAGGAGAGGGCGAAGCAGGCTCCCCGCAGAGCAGGGAGCCTGATGCGGGCCTTGATCCCAGGAACCTGGGATCATGACCTGAGCCAAAGGTAGTCGCCTAATGACTGAGCTACCCAGGTGCCCTCATTTTGTTAATTTTACTTTAAACTTATTTCTATGAGTGATTTCTGCATGAAAAAGGAATTTTAGTATTAAAAAAGCATCCTTAGGCTCCATCTGAGCAATAAAATGGGAAATATTGTTTTTTATAGAAATGCTGAGTGATAAGAGGCAAATGTTCACAAGTATTTGTAAAATTTCTTGAAGTTCCATGTTAAGAAAAAAATGCCAAAAAAAAAGAAGTTTTAGTTTCAGTGTTTCTCTTTTTTTTTTAAGGGGGGGCAGGGCCGAGGAAGAGAGAGACAGAAAGAATCTTAAGTAGGCTCCATGCCCAGCACAGAGCCTGATGCACGGCTTGATCTCAAGACCCTGAGATCATGACCTGAACTGAAATCAAGAGTTGGATGCTTTATCGACTGAGCCACCCAGACGTCTTTAGTTTCATCATTTCTGAATGATCTTCTAACCCTACTAATCTCAACTGGTTATGCTTAATTCCTCACATATTAGGAAAGCATCTTTGAAGGGTGATTAGAATTTAAAAATTATCATAAAATGTATGAATTATTTATAATAAATCCATGTATCTGAGATTCTTAAGCAAAAGTCATTTTTAAAAAAGATTTTATTCATTTATTTGAGAGAGAGAGAGTGAGAGAGAGAGCACAAGATGGGGGAGGGTCAGAGGGAGAAGCAGATTCCTGCCGAGCAGGGAGCCCGATGTGGGGCTCGATCCCGGGACCTGAGCCAAAGGCAGCGGCTTAACCGACTGAGTGACCCAAGCGCCCCGCTTAAGCAAAAGTCTTACATGAGCAAAGCCAATGAACTGCCAAACCATATTTTCCTTCTGCTGTAAATAACTC